CATCTGTAATACAAGTGTGTGTGTGTGTGTGTGTGTGTGTGTGTGTGTGTGTGTGTGTGTGTGTTTTACTGGGGCTCAAATCTCAACCTTCATGCATGCTAAGCCTTCTACTGAACTGTACCCCTAATCTCCCTATCCTGATTTTTAATGCAAAGTACACCAATATGGTCAATGTATGTTCTAATAAGCAAGACTTTATCTGTGTTCACAACAAAAACTGGTTCTAGTAGAATACGCTAGGACACACAGTTGAATAGATGGGACTATAGCTCTGTTTTAAAGCTTAGAGACAGCCATTTTATTTTGTTTTGTTTTAAAATGCAGATTAACTAGGCCTTCAGACTTCTAACAAGGTAATAATAGAGCTCTGCAACTTTGGGGCCCCACCCCTAGAGTAAACAGTGGTTGCTCAGTGCATTATGGCATTCGCTTCCAGGCAAAGAAAATTTGTACCTAGGTAAGAAAAGATGAAAGTTAAAATTCAAATTATAGCCACTATAGAAACAAAGTATCTCTTTGTGTGTGTGTGTGTGTGTGTGTGTGTGTGTGTGTGTGTGTATAAGTACAGTACTGTGTGTTTTTAAGAGGGTATGATCTGCTTTTATACAATTTTTGTGCTTTGCTTTTTGATAGATACGGAAAACCATCTAATTATTTAAACATAACATGCAACATTTGCAATGTATATATTTCAGAAGTCATCGCAATATGCAGGCAGTTTAAATTGAGTGCTTTTAAGAATTCATGATTATTTTCACCTTATTTGAATATAGAAATATAAACTCTTAAGCTTCCATATTCATATATTTTTCTTCCCATTATATAGTTTTATTTATATTGCATACACCATATATTGTAGATGATTAGGTATATTTATACTTTAAGTAGAAAGTTTTATCTCTGTTTTTGTAAATAATAATCTGTTTCAGTAATTTGACAAGCAATTTAACTAAGATCATTTATGTCCTATATGGCCACTTATATTTGTATTTTGAAAAATTTAAAAATAGTAATTAGTTACTTATTTGAGCAAAATGGACATAAATTTACTAAGGAAAAATGAGAAAGAACTCTTGAGTAGGAAGGGTTCCAAGGGAGGAATACCACAATTAACATTTTTATATAGAAAGTTTATTATTTACTTTGTATGAAGGTATGTCTTTCCTGTGCATTCTTAAGGACAGATTCCAGGCCTTGTTCGTCTGTGTGTTGTCAGTACCTAATGTGGGTGATCAGCAAGCTTTTACCAGCATGACATATTCTTTCATTAATTGGAAATTGGCAGTAGAAATAAATGACTTACAAATCTGAAAATATTTCCTCTTTCATTTAAGAGACTAAGTAGATCTTTTTAATATATGAGAGGTGATAAAGAGAGACAGAGACAGACAAGAGTGGTTGATACAAAAACACAATATATCCAAGAGCATGGATATTCCAGGAGACATCTTAGAGACAAACACTGAAATCACACAGAGCTCTGCCTACATATTGACAATAGAATTAAGCTTAATTACTAATTAGTAGGGAAAGAATGAATGTATGAATGATTGTTAGAGCAGAATATAACCTGCTATGTTTGAGTATTGTCTTAGAGAGTAAGTAATATTTTCCTCTTTAAGGACTAAAGTCTTAAGAGGACTGCTCATCTTTGTCTCTATGTGTTTTATGAATTCAGAATGTTTTTACAGAGTATATAAGTTGCTATTAAAATTGTATTAACTTTTGGATTTTATTCTGAATTGTAATTATCCTTGATTACAGACCAGAGAGGCAGTGTACAAAGAGCTGTTTATTTCACACAAAAAAATCCTCATAAACATTGGAGAACTTATATTCTAAGAATAAAGGTGTGTGTGTGTGTGTGTGTGTGTGTGTGTGTGTGTGTGTGTGCCCACTGAGGCCAGAAGAGGGCGTTAGCTCACCTGGAGCTGAAGTTTCAAGCAGTTGTGAGCTGCTGGAATGGGAACTCAGGTCTTCTGGAAGATCAGCTTTTAACTACTGAAGCATCTCTCCAGCAGGCTATCTTTTTGAGATAATTTAAACCTAAATGAATGTTACTTGAGAGAAGTAAGGTGTTTTGTTTTTGTTTTGTTTTGTGGAAGGGGTGGAGGATGATTATCTTTCATTTTGAGGCATAGCTCTTCCGTGTGAATTGTTGTAAACATCCAGAATTATCTAGAAGTAATACATTACTAGATTGTCTCTT